CATTGTGATAATTAAAAAATCTCAAATCATTTTAAAGTAATTAAAAAGAACACGATCATTTAATATTTGCCTCTTGGAAATAAAAACAATAACACAATTCACTCCAGGACCCTCGCTAAAATCATATTTCGAAACCCAAAAAATATAGACATCATTAAACTCCGCTTAATTGTCTCAGAAAAATATTTTGGTATAAAGCTCAATGTTATTAATATTACAAATACCACTTTAATTTTTTAATCAACTTTATTATTACTTTAAAATGTTAGAGTGATTTTTTTCAACTATGTAATTGGCATACCTGAGATGGTCATCCTGCTTGACAAGAATTTACCATAGAAGAAAATACAACTCTTTGTCGCGTGAAAAATATTTCCACTGAATCTAGTGTAACATACAGAGCTACGAAAAATGTTTATAAATATCAGTTTCCATTGTCAAAAACCTGTATGAAAACATATCTGACATACGCGACTCCGACCGCGCTGAATTAAAAAAAACATATTTGGTAGCCTAAGTGTTCTTTCAGACTATCATCTATATGTATGCCCAATTTCATCGAGATCCATTTAGTTGTTCTGGAGATACCTTTTAACAAACATCCATGGATGGATCTAAACTTTCAAATTTATAATATTAGTAGGTTTAAATAATTAATAATCAAAATACAAGGGTTCAATTATAGCGTGAATCATTGTACGTAGATTTGAAGCACTAAAACTCTGTCAATGGGAAGGCAAACGAAGTAATTACTCTGATAGTAAGCACAAACCGGAATCCTTGCTTTGTTCAGTTTTGTAACGACGCGGTAACAGTAAAGCTGGCTACGGTTTTGTTATTTCCACTCCAACAATATGACGATGATCAACTCTTTGAAGTGTTTTTATCGTCTTTGATTCTCGTTAAACTATATTTGCAAGAGTTGCCATTTTTATTTGCTGTAGCTTTTGCGGTTTTTATTAAGAGCTGGGATAGCTAAAATGTCTGGGTACGAATTTATTTTTTTGCAATACTTTATCACAAAGCGGAATTTTACAATTTGTAATTAATGATACATTTTTAAGAATACATCGACATTCAAAGAACCCTTATGTAACTACTATTTGTGGTCTCAAAGTTTTTGATCTTATTGCAAGCAGTCTACTACTCGCGGACGTATTTAATTCGATTGTTTTTAATAGTATAAGATTTTAAATGCATTTTTTATTCTTGTACCCTTTGCATTTTACGAGCTTAAGTTCACTTTTAACACATTTTTTTTATCTCTTTTTAACTATCAATGTTATATATCAGATATTTTGCACAGGTTAATATAAATAATTCACCTTTACACGTCGCGATGAAAATCGCTGGCTTGTTTCAGTGAATAAATATTTATGCTTGATTGGTAAGTAATTACTTAACAAACGGGGCCGGGTCGAAGGGAAGTTTCGAGACAGCCGTGAATACGGTTAGAGCCTTAATAGATGTAACTAATCCCGTCAGAACGAAAATGAATTGATTAAGGGATTTAATTTAAATTAATTAAATTAATATTGACATACCTGTATTAAACACTTTCATCCTTATGTTCTTATTGCCATGATTGACAAGTTCTTATGCTTAAAAACCACTAATCACTTTAATTTTTAGTACAATCGTTAGGCATTTTCGGTTACGGCAGCTGAATGTCAACGATTTGAATTATTCAAATTAAAGCTTTAGTTGTCATGTGACTGTTCCTGAATAGTATAAATCTCGTCTGTTGTACGTTATTTTTTAACATTAATTATAGCTACGTACGCAGGTCTGAGGTGTCTGACGTTCAATTAAAATAATTACTGTTTAGGTAATGTCTTTTCCAATAGCTATTTTTGTTTCGATCTCTGTAACGTAAACTCCGAACATTAACGTTATAATAAATCTGATAGATTCTTTATGATTACAATCGTGTTATATTTGTTTTACTATTAGAAAATAATTGAATTATTTTAGTATAATATAATCTTACTTATATTATAAATACGAATATTTGGATGGATGGATCTTCTGCCGTTTTGGAGAAAGTAAAGAATGGCTGCACGGATCTTCTGAAATATGGCATCGATGTATTACATGGTCTAGAAGAACACATAGGCTATTTTAGTTTTTTTTTTAATTTTACATTAACGGAGTAACAGGCGTTAGCTATTTCTTTTTAATATATAACACTAAGATATGTTTATATCGGACTATTCACACAGCATTGAGTTTTTACCTGACTGATTTTATAGTCAAAATTCCATACATCCGTTACCCGACCGACACAGAAATCACGAATTTCCATTTAGCTCGACCTGACATACTTCTCGTTTGATTTGATCTCTTTCATGTGACGGAGGCACTTCGAACATGGCTACTCTTGATATTGCTATATTTTGAACTGTCACCAAACATATATGTATGTTTATTCTACACATATTCTATATACATAAAGTCTCTATTCCATGCTTCGTTATTTAAACTACATATTTTATTTCTATAATTCCTACTCTATATCCTGATAGTCTCTATAAATAGTCCTTTATAATCGTGACCCTAATCTGACCGAATTATTTTTTTCACAAAGTATAGATTTATCTACTAACAAGGCTTACTTTTTATATAACTTTTCTTACCTTTTCTCATTTTTTTTAACTTTTACTATCAGTATTAAATATTTGTAATTTATATTTATTGGGAAAAATTTATATTTGACATATATTGCAGAAATTAAATTTGTTAAAAAGTAGCGAAGAATTGACTACAAAATTGGTTTTTCGATTATAGTTTTTTCCAATGCCAAAATTTTTACCTAAATTTTTACCTTTTATTTTTAACTAAAAATGTGTTACTAATTATTTTTTCTCATTGAATACTCAAATTTAACAATCTTACTTGTTATTAGATTTCATTGTGCGGAGTATCATATCAAATTCGTTAATTTAACTAACATTAAATTCTTGCTTAAACGAGAGTCCTAAAAGAAGGTATTTAAACAATTTGAGACTGAGGCTCTTAAATACGAATAAAATTGTCTTTTAATGTATTTCATTCTAATTGCATTAATTAAACTCTTATTTAAAAAGATTAGTGGTTTTAAAATATATTTTATTAACGAGTCTATTACTTGAAATAAAAAGAAGATTGTGTCTCAAAATAATGCAGTGTAAATAAAATTCCACATAATGTTTGGTGTGTACTTAATGTGTACTAAGAGTACATAAGACAGATGTTATCTTGAATTTAAGTTCCAGAATTCAATAGAATCTATTTAATTTTCAGTTTTAGTTTTTAATGCAATACTAGCTGTCGTCCGCAACCCCGTTCGCGCTGAATAAAAAAACACTTAGTAACCTATGTGTTCTTCTAGATTATGTTCTACATCTGTGCCAAATTTCATCAAGATCTGTCCAGCCGTTCCGTAGATACTTTTAAACAAACATCAATCCAAACATTCGCTTTTACAATATTAGTACGATGGTTTCTAAGTAAAAACAAAACCATAGAAACGCTTTACAGGACCATTACTAATTATATTTCTTTTCATCTTCAATAAGCCGGTAACGTAAAACGATTCCGACAAAAGCCGATCGTATAAAGAGAAAACAAAGCAGTCTAAAAGAAAATTGGGAGGGTCAAACGAAGACATCATTGGCGTAATTTTCTTTGTTGCTTCTTACTAAGAGCTTGTTAATACAATAAACTGAACAGAAAATGCCTCCGAAAATTTTATAAGCTCTATTCCTTTATAGTATATATTAATAAATGTAAAATAAAACTAACAAAGTTAATTGAATAAAATAACTAGGTATATATTTACGTAAATCTAACCTCATCTAAATAATTCACATAATAAATATAAAAAATAATGTAATAAGTCATATTTTAATTGTTAGACATTTATTAATAAATGTTAATCAAATAAATTTGCTAAATAACTCAAAAGTCAAATAATACAATTATAATTAACAGTAAACATTTGAATACAGTTTGAACAAGACATGTATTTACGTTATGAACAATGTGTTTACTTACTGACCCTTATCTAAAAAGTTTTCAAATTGTTATGTATTCCATCGCTGGTTGATCACTTAATTTAACAAAATTGTTTCTAATATTTATAAATCAATAAACATGTGTTCCAAGAAATTTTGTTGTTTAAGTTTACGGGATAGTCAAATTTCGCGTTCTTTGCTCAACGACGTTTAGCGACGTGCGCACAGCACCGCGGTGTGAATCGCACTGAGCTCGGAGGCTCTTGACAAGACAATCTTTGCCGTGCACACTGCCCCTCGCCAGATAACAGCAACTTGTGAGCTTTCACACGGATAACGGCCGGGCAACTGAAGCTTTGTTTCCGTCTTTTTTGTAACTAACACCGATGTTAGACCTGAAATAATTGTTTAGATAACCGTTTGGAGCTTTAACTCTGCAATATTCTTGTTCTTATTGTTTTTAAAAGGTATCCTTTTAATATTATGTTGAGTAATGTGTTTTAATTAATATGCGTTTGTAAATATAATAATAATGTAATTCATAAATTATTTATTTATTTTCTTTTTTTTAGGTGTGTATTTTAATCAATTTTTAACTTCATGTCACCGGTAATATTGAATAAAAATTAACATAAGTATAGAGAAAAAACTAATGAAAAATTGTATAAGCTGCCTAAACTTGAGGCGTTGAAGTCGTTTACTTAAATTCGTTTATTTCGAGGGTATGCATAAAAACAGGCGAATCACAAAACAAGATAACATTCGGCAAGTATTCGGCTGCGAGAATCTCATTTTCAATATGTTTTTATAACTTTCAGTGAGGAAATGAGGTGGCGCTTGGGGCGCTCGACTCCGACATTGTCATCATAAAGTAACCGAGGCCTCTTCATAAATCCGCACCCAATGTACCTTTATACGCATTACGCCATAACACCGAGGATTCTTTTTCGCGAAATAATACTTTTAAAATCCTACCAATATAGCTTGTATTAGTCTGCTAATCTTTATTTAATGTTAACTGATATAACACCGTAACAATATTTTTGTTTATTTACATAAGGTTTTAAATTAATTTACAGTATGGCAACACTAATTTTTAAAATGGAAAATCAATGTCTGTCCAGTCTGTTTTTATAAAAACCAAATTATCTTGCAAATACGTCTTATTTTGAATGTCGAATATTGAATATTATTTTGTTGCTGATGCTAACCAAAATAGTCTCCACAAAAAACAATATTATAAAACTTTTACAGAATGTAAAATAGGTTCTAACAAATCTCATTCTACAGAGAGCGAGAATTATAATTTATGATTTCATTTCAAACCTAAACGCAAATATTTTTTCGAGCGTTCGTTGGCATTGCGCGAAATCTTTCTTGTTCAATTTTCGCCAGTCTCAACATAATAACCTCTTGTTGACAGTGCTGCCCCCGCACGGCCCCGAGCACTCCACAAGCAATAAGACAGTAATAAATGTTCAGATCCAAAGACAAGAATAAAAAGGAATATAATAAGTAGATATTGTGAATCGGTACTTGGGGGGACTTCAATATTGCCACTCTTTATATGCGATGGATTTCTTCATGAATAGTACAAGTCTTCTGTACTCTCAAAGCCACTGAGAAGTTAGTCTTTGTTACTAATGATAAGCTACTTATTTATCATACTAGCTGTGCCCGCGACTTCGACCGCCTAAAATACTGTCTTTTATTTAGTAAGTATTACAAAACTATAAAATATATCGTGGACAGTATTTTGGAGACAAAAGGTTTGTTCGACTTAACATTATATACAAACTTAAAAACTATAGGAATAATTAGTAATCGCACATATTGTCATGCTATAACCAATTTAATGATCGAAATATACGAAAATAACTTCTGAATAACAAAGGCATACGTCATCAAGGAAAATTAATTAAATTAGTCATATTAGGTGACCTACCCAACTTGATGTTTCATTCATTTTAATAAATTAAAGAAATAAATAACAAACGATGTGAACTAACAGAAGAGTTTAACTTTTGAGTTTTGTATAATGCAGCACCTAGTTAAAAACGTAAATAGGTAATGAATAAATAATTTGAAAGCAGGGTGAAGGCAAGTTTCTCGTCAAAGCTTCATTTCGCGCAACGTGGATTATCCATATTATCCTAAAATCTCTGAACGGCAGCCGCTAGCACAGTACACTGATCGCGGCTCATATAAAATGACTTCATTTTTAGATCGCTACTTTTTAATCCTAACTTTAATTTCAAATAATTACTCTATAAGGTTTTTTTCTACCGAGGCCGTTTTTATTTCTGAGCTTTATTAAAAATCTCCTTGAGAAGGAAGAAAGTTTTTTTTCGCAATTCCAGCCGGCTGTTTCGCTGAATTACTTTTAGTCGATCGTGGTCTTTATAAAGAATATCGACGTCGAATTTAAATAACATTATTAATAAGATATTACAATTATTTTCAAGATGTTGATGAAAGACAAGAAATAGAAATAAAAAAACAATACTCTCGAGTAACTATCCCTATTGTGACACTCTAATGCCACCAAAATTGATCAGGCCGTAACTCAAAATGGCCTGTTGGACAAACAAGTTATCTACTTGTATCATATAATTTTTGGTCAAATGTCGAATGAGGGACGGGTTTTAGAATAGTAAATGTTGATAAGTTGACTTAATAATTCGTCTGCTCAGTTGTATGTTGAATAATCTAGAGAAGTGTGTCGGGGCCGTACAAAATGTAAATCTGAAATAATCTCTAACTACCTCTGAGTTGTGGACGTGAGAGCTTTTATCTTTTTTTTATAAATATAATGAGAGCGCCTGAGCGCTCTCTTCAAGCTGCAGCACACGAGTAACTGGAGTTTGATCTCTGATGCAAGCGTTAATTAAATCTTTAATTACATTTTAGCGCGTTGATTAACTATACTCGATCCAGTTACTTTAAGTAAAAATTAAAGACACATGAAGTTTTATTTTAAGTTATAATTCTGAAGTAGCAATAAATTTACTCAATTATTTTTAACAGTTGTTTGGTATATCGCGGACGATTATATTCTTCGCAATTGTTTTGATAAATCTGTTGTCTTTTGTCTCTAGACCGCTACTGTCACCTTATCCTTAACAGGAATTTGTAACATTAGTGAATTCATGTCGCGAATGTCTTATGATGGACATTCTCTACTCTGACTATGTGAAAATACACTTATTTATACACTACCCAGTTAACACCTTTATACAGTTTTCCATTTGTAATTATCCTAAACATAACAAGCGACGCACTCTTACTATCTTTCGCTGTAGTGTACCAGTGTTGCTGTGTGGACTGGACTAGGTTAAAGAGTTTTGTAGATAGTCTCTTTTAACCCGGTGACTTTCACGTGCACTTAGCTTTGTAGTTTAGCAGGTTGAAATAGTACTGAATGCATTTGAAACGAAAAGCGTTAAGGTAAAATGTTTCTAGGGCTTTTTTGTCAGTTAATGGAAGTTCTTTGTTCCTATATTCCGAACGGACGGGCGAGTAGAACTTGAAATCGGATTAGCGATATCGGGCATAGACCGTGATGGAATCGTCGGAGCATTATCTCCTGCAGCGCACGGCACGTTTAGACCAACTTCGCATAATCAAACGATATTATTCCATATGACAGTTATTGAATCATCTCGTTTTACGATGAATTAAACGTTAATGGTAAACAAAAATATTATTTTTTTTATGTCTGAAATTTTGTAGTTTACATTTAGACAGGCCCTGAGTATAATGTGGTAACTCGATTTTTGTTCGAAATTACTCACATTTTGTGCTTTTCGAAATCTGCTAAAAAAGATGTTTTGATTTCTGAAATTAACACATCGTTTTTAGTACATTTACTTTTATAGTATATAATATTAATATAACCTCTCCTCTCCTAAAGAAATCAAGTATCTTGTTACTACTATAGGCGTAGAAACGGACAATTTTATTACAATTTAAAATAAATACCACAATAAGATGTCACTATTTATTTAAATCAAGTTCATAAAACAACAATGCTAAATAATCCTACCATTAAAACAAGGCAAAGCAAGCTCTTGTACAAATTTATCAAATGTATATTCTACGAAATACATACAAAATTAATAGCAAGCGAAGGCAGTAGCCGTGTAAGGTTAAGATCGTCTGAACTACAAGATAATGGGGAGGTAAGCGCTAGAGTGCCCCAGGTTTATTCCGACATTGAAATGTTTAGAGGCAATGCTATTGACGTTGGATTCAGGGCTGTACACATTTTATACAGTTAAAACAAAATGGGTGACATTGTTCTGTTAGTATGCAAAAAATTTTTACTACGTTTTCTAATTTAATAAAAAAGCATAAATATTTTTTTTTATATAATATTAATTTGGAGAAAAGATTTGATTGTTCGAAATCTCAAAACGTCTTTGATAAAATTTTCTTTCTATCGTGTACGCTGTTTATCAAAATAATTGTGAACCCACAAGTTGTTAGTTTAAAAGCAAACTTAGCAGAAGCAAAACTTGTTGGCAGTGTATGAATATAAACTTAATTAATACTTACAGTAATAGAGTTTATTATTGTATATAAAATATAGAGATTCTAACTTTTTAAACCTTACTAAATAGAGTTAGGAACACATGGATTTCAATTGTCCAACACTCACATATTATTATCCTTTTAATGCTACCTCAAAAAAAAAAAAAATTAGAACATAACAGTGTTTTCTTTGATTTCTTGGAATCATCAATTCCTATAAAAATTTATCACAATATAGCTCTATTCAGTGTTCTTTTAGTAGAAAGTAACACGCTTGTTTGGAGTTAATTAATAAGACGTGCAATCAGAAACAGGATGTAAACAAAGGGATGAGAAAAAGAACAAAAATGAAGTGAATTAAGGCCGGCAATGCACAAGGATGCTGAGTGAGAGTAGTCCGACTAAGATTGATGATGTAATTTTCTTCTTTATTAACCCGTTTATTTGTACTTGCCGCGAGGTTAAGATTTAAACTGCTATGCCAAAGTCAAAATATCCCCACAAGTCTAAAGCAAAATCAGGTAAACAGAAATTATTCATTTTATACTGAGATATTTTCTACTCAAGCAAAATTTAAATTCGTGGGGCTATCACGAATATTTGTGATAATCGCCAATGTACTGTTTTCGATAAAGCTAGTATTAATGTGTACAGCGTCCCTCTATCTGGCATTAAATATACCAAAAATGTCACACTAA